ATGATCAAGCTCATTTTTCACTCATGACCTCAGAGTTTAACAGGTCTCTACCTGCAAAATGCGGGAGGAGAAACGTACTAAGGAACTGGGAAGCTCGACCCCTTCCAAGCTCTGGTTGAAGCCCTCGCCGAACGTCAAGGTCTGTAGGCCACTGGGAAGCTGCACCCCTTCCAAGCTCTGGTCGAAGCATTCGCCGAAAGTCAAGGTTTTTAGGCCCCTGGGAAGCTGGACCCCTTCCAAGCTCTGGTCGAAGCTATGGTCGAAGGTCAAAGTCTGCAAGGCGTCGGGAAACTGCACACCTTCCAAGCTCTGGTTGAAGCTATGGTCGAAGGTCAAGGTCTGCAAGGCGCTGGGAAGCTGGACCCCTTCCAAGCTCTGGTTGAAGTCAATGCCGAAGGTCAAGGTCTGCAAGCCGCTGGGAAGCTGCACATTTTGCAAGCTCTCGTTAAAGCAAAAACCAAAGGTCAAGGTTTGCAAGCCGCTGGCAAGCTGCACCCCTTCCAAGCTCTGGTTGAAGCTCGCGCCGAACGTGAAGGTCTGTAGGCCGCTGGGAAACTGCACCCCTTCCAAGCTCTGGTCGAAGTTGTCACCGAACGTCAGGGTCTGTAGGCCGCTGGGAAACTGCACTCCTTCCAAGCTCTGGTCGAAGTTCTCGCCGAAAGCCAAGGTCTTTAGGCCGCTGGGAAGCTGGACCCCTTCCAAGCTCTGGTTGAAGCTTTTGCCGAACGTCAAGGTCTGCAGGCAACTGGGAAGCTGGACCCCTTCCAAACTCTGGTCGAAGCATTCGCCGAACGTCAAGGTTTGTAGGCCGCTGGAAAACTGCACACCTTCCAAGCTCTGGTTGAAGTCTATGCCGAAGGTCAAGGTCTGCAAACCGCTGGGAAGCTGGACCCCTTCCAAGCTCCGGTCGAAGCATTCGCCGAAGGTCAAGGTCTGCAAGCCGCTGGGAAGCTGGACCCCGTTCAAGCTCTGGTTGAAGCTACTGCCGAAGGTCAAGGTCTGCAAGCCGCTGGGAAGCTGGACCCCGTCCAAGCTCTGGTTGAAGCTACTGCCGAAGGTCAAGGTCTGCAAGCCGCTGGGAAGCTGGACCCCTTCAAAGCTCTGGTTGAAGCTATGGCCGAAGGTCAATGTCTGCAAGCCGCTGGGAAGCTGGACCCCTTCCAAGCTCTTGTAGGCAAAGGTCAAGGTCTGCAAGGCGCTGGGAAGCTGCACCCCTTGAAAGCTCTGGTTGAAGCGCTCGCTGAAGGTCAGGGTCTGCAAGCGGCTGGGAAGCTGCACCCCTTCCAAGCTCCGGTTGAAGCTTTTGCCCAAGGTCAAGGTCTGCAAGGCGCTGGGAAATTGCACCCCTTCCAAGCCCTGCTTGAAGCACTTGCCGAAGGTCAAGGTCTGCAAGCCGCTGGGAAGCTGCACCCCTTCCAAGCTTTTGTTAAAGCTTTCGCCGAACGTTAAGGTCTGTAGGCTGCTGGGAAACTGCACCCCTTCCAATCTCTGGTCGAAGCATTCGCCGAAAGTCAAGGTTTTTAGGCCGCTGGGAAGCTGGATCCCTTCCAAGCTCTGGTTGAAGCTTTTGCCCAAGGTCAAGGTCTGCAGGCCTCTGGCGAGTTGCACACCTTCCAAGCTCTCGTTAAAGCAAAAGCCAAAGGTCAAGGTCTGCAAGGCGCTGGGAAACTGCACCCCTTCCAAGCTCTGGTTGAAGTCTATGCCGAAGGTCAAGGTCTGCAAACCGCCGGGAAGCTGCACCCCTTCCAAGCTCTGGTTGAAGCCCTCACCGAAGTTCAAGGTATGTAGGCCAGTCGGAAGCTGCACACCTTCCAAGCTCTGGTTAAAATCACAGCCGAAGGTCAAGCCAACAACGACATCCATGGCATCCACGTCGTCATCCAATCCTGTCTTTGCTAACACTCGCTGAATACTGCGTGCCGCTTGGCCAGCGCCACATTTCTGCAACACATATGTGAGCTTTTGATCTTGAGTTTGTTGCAGCAGCGGCTGGTGCAGTTCGAGGACGCGGTCACCCGAAGTCAGCACGATAGACGCTGCGGAAAGGCCAACACTTCCTGCGAGACGTCTCCGCACATCCAGACCCGTTTCCGCATCGTCCACATCGAGCTCAAACGTGGAGCCGGCAAGACAGTGGATGGTCAACGGCCGCATGTTGACCCTAAACCCTAAACCCTTAAACCCTGAACCCTAAACCCTATGTTGGCTCTTCTGAGCGACAAGACTCGACGAAGAATGGCGCAAAAGGGGTTGGGGATTTCAGTTCACTGACAAGTACTTATAGGGGGGGGAGAACCTTATATCCCCACGTATACCTCCTCAAGGCATCGCATATGGCACCTACCTCCCTAATTTGAAAGGATCACGTACTGGCAGCAGTTTACTGGCATTTCTTACAAACCATGCCCGACCTCATTCGGCAAGAGGGTTTAGGGTTCCAATTCTAAAGTAACAGGGGATAGTGAATAAAATCTTCCAAAGTCGTGCCCGATTTAGGGCTTATGGGGCTTGGGCCTAGAAACGCAGAGTCGCCCTAGAGATCCCAAACCTTCGAGCTTAAAACCCAAACGCCGCTGGACTTGCTGCGTACCCATAGAGACCCCAAGGGACTCAGAATCCGGCTACTGGGTTTGCGGGCTAAGGCTAGGAATCTGAACTTCTACAAGGAAGGGCAACCCTAAATTTGGGGCAATAAGGATCCTAAATTAGGTTTCTAAGTCCCTTAACTATAGTTAACATAGTAAGAGGCCCCCTCCTTGTGAGGGCTGTCTGCCACCCTTCACCTTACGGCTTGAACCACGTAAGAGTTCTTTTTTGGTTGTGGAGGCCTGGAAGCCTTTTTTCGGTGGACGCCGGGCGCCTTTCGTTCTTTGCTGTGGAGGCCGGGTGCAACTTTAAACCCTAAACCCTAAACCCTAAAACCTAAAGCCTAAAGCCTAAAGCCTAAAGCCTAAAGCCTAAAGCCTACAGCCTAAAGCCCTAAACCCCAAACCCCCCGACGGTTTGTTTTTGGCTGTGGAGGCCGGACGCATTGTTTGTTCCCCACATCATCACTGTGTGGGGTTCTTGCTTTTCTCGGCTGCCCCCGCCCGTCCGCGCCCGCCCGCCTCCGCCCGCCGCCAACAGTAGTATACACAGACACGAACACCCTAAACCCTAAACCTCAAACCCTAAACCCTACACCCCTTGTTTTCAAGCTTAGGACCTTCTGGATCTAGAGGGGGGCAACAAAAAATCAGACTACAGGGCATTCCTGGACCCTGCCTGGACCAGTTGTGTTGGGTTGGGGGTTCAGGGTTTAGGGTTCAGGGTTCAGGGTTCAGGGTTCAGGGTTCAGGGTTCAGGGTTCAGGGTTCAGGGTTCAGGGTTCAGGGTTTAGGGTTTAGGGTTAGGGGTAGGGGTAGTCTGGAAGAGTTGGAATAGTGCGTCCCCTCACCCTCTGTCACCGCAGCCGGCTCCATTCAGACGAGCCTCGCATCGTCGCAAGCCCCATGTTGCCTCGCCAAGGGCCACTAAGGAGCCCTATACGCCCTAAACCCTAAACCCTAAACCCTAAACCCTAAACCCCAAACCCCTAAACCCTAAACCCAAAACCCAAAACTCAAAACCCAAAACCCCAAACCCTAAACCCTAAACCTTCGTTCCGGGTTTAGGGTGACAGGGATTCAGCGCTTAAGGCCTGCTTGAAGTTTCATGGGCAGATATAACAGAAGCAGGGCGACCTGCACCTCAACTTGAGCTAGAAATACCCTAGACCCTAAACCCTAAGCCCTATGCCTGAAGCCCTAGACCCTAAGCCCTGAGACCCTAAACCCTAAACCCTAAACCCTAAACCCTAAACCCTAAACCCTAAACCCTAAACCCTAAACCCTAAACCCTAAACCCTAAACCTAAACCCTAAACCCTAAACCCTAAACCCTAAACCCTAAACCCTAAACCCTAAACCCTAAACCCTAAACCCTAAACCCTAAACCCTAACCCTAGACCCTAGACCCTAGACCCTAGACCCTAGACCCTAGACACGAAACCCATGAAAACCTGAGGTCGAAGCCTTGATACCCATGGGGTTTATGACCGGGAGCCCCAAGCAAGGCATACATCTGGGTTTAGGGTTTAGGGTTTAGGGTTTAGGGTTTAGGGTTTAGGGTTTAGGGTTTAGGGTTTAGGGTTTAGGGTTTAGGGTTTAGGGTTTAGGGTTTAGGGTTTAGGGTTTAGGGTTTAGGGTTTAGGGTTTAGGGTTTAGGGCTTCAACCCTCATGCAGAGGATGACAAGTTTAGTTCAAAATGGCTGTATCTCTTTGTATATTTCTTCGCCACAAAATGTTCGATGCTCGTGGAATTCAGGCCATTCGTTTGAGTCTTCGATCATTTCAACTTGCCGGACCACTTCAAAGCAATTTAACCGCTTTCAATATCTGATGCCTGACTTCGTTTCCTGCACCCTAAACCCTCAACCCTAAACCCTAAACCCTCAACCCTCAACCCTCAACCCTCAACCCTCAACCCTCAACCCTCAACCCTCAACCCCAAACCCTAGACCCTAGGCCCGACGTGCATTTTGGTCTATGCGCAAACCCAACAGGGGCCGCGACGACAACAGCCACGTGGCTTCCATTGTGTTTGGCTATGGCGATGTACAGTACTGGACAGTAGCAGTGTTCATGAGTTTTTTCGATGACAAAAAAGTAGGGAATAAAGTCTAAAAAGGCTGAGGCATCACACCCAAAGCTCATTTATAAAGCCACAAGCCCTCGATCTAACCTGCAACAATGGGTGCAGATAGGGCTTAAGGTTAAGGGTCAGGCCAAAACCGTCGGAAAGAAGCCCTAAACCCTGTCCTAAGCCCTACACCGCAATCAACAAATCCCGAAGCCCTCCAAACCCTGTCCTAAATCCTAAACCATGTTTAAGCCCCCTAAACCCTCAGAACCCAACCCCCGAAAACGTCCAAGCAAGCCACTGAGGCCCTCCTCACCAGCCGCCTGGCGGCAACAGGGAGG